TGTACATATAAGTTTTTTATATCAACATAAACCAAAGGTTTATGCGAAAAAAATAATGATTAAACCTTCGACATATCCAGGCAAAAGTATTCATGATACACGCATGTCCTCATGGACAACCACATTCATCTACTACCATTTTGGGTAAATCGCTTTCAATTATACCATCGTCTCCATAATATATCAAAGACATGCTGGAAAATTTAACTGGTGCACAACATGGTTGCATGCCATTCAAGAGACCCATCTTACGGTATTCTTCTATAAAATGAGCGTGAAATGTTTGAAATGTATCAGGTGTTCGATAAGGGCCGGCGCAGTCCCCGCGACAATAATTAGCGAAATAGCCACGCGGTGCAATGATCCAATCATCCCAGCCTAAGGCTTTGAAGGACACGTAAAATGATTCCTTACAACATTGACCATATATTGCCTCAAGGCAATCAATATCAAATACGTCTCAAACGCTTTGTTTCTGAGTGCAAACCCAAGAAAAGCCGATTCAAGCTTGGCTCTGATGAGCCTTCCCTTTTTAATTTCACTTTGTTTTGTCGTTGCAAAAATGCCATATTATGAATTTTTTTCTGGTCAAATCCGGTTTTGAATTGTGTACTAACGGATGATGCTGAAATGAATTAGTCTTCAGTTGATAGATTTCCGCAAAATATGTTGAATTCTTCCGAATATTACATTCATATATATTTATAGGTCGCTTTACTCGACTTACATATTGTCCTTTTTGTAGCACCACATTATTAAGGTCACCACGTGGCTGCGTCCATTGAACAGCAAGATCATTGCTATTCACTGAATGATATCGTTTAGCATATACCTGCTTATTAAAAAGGTGTAAAACATAGTGGCGACCACAACCAGTACAATCTAAAAGAAGGCGTAAATTTCCTATTGGCTAATTATGTTCTCGTTAAATGTAGCACAAAGTTGAAGCGGTTCATCACATTCCTTTGCATTAAGGAATTGTATCAATATTGTTTAGGTAAGTATATATATTATGCAAATAAAACACTAAATTATTACATATTCTATATTGTATAATATGTGCATTACACAATAGATTTGGGCTTGACGCTCTGCGTTGCGGGACTATCATTAAGTATCACTCCCAAATTTAAGGACTACCACATAAAACGCTTCTTTTAATACCCCAAAACCGATATGTAGTTGTAGTAACTTCCTCAATTTGATGAGTTAAAACTAATTTAGGTGGTACAATAGTAGAATTTGCAAATATTTTAGAACCGAAAAAAGAGTGTTTTTTAATATTGTAGAATTCACGGGTATATAAAGAAGTCCCCGACACTTAAAATATACAATATTCCAAATAAACAACCCAAGTATAACCAAATCCCGACAAAACATAATAACATAATCCAAATTTTACACAATTCTGTCACGAAACAATCCAGACATGCAATAACTTTCAACGGGCTTATCTGAAATGTGGCAAATTAATTTTAATATATCAATATTTTTCCATTACAACTGGAACTCTATTTAAATACAGAGTTTCTTAATGCAGTAAACCGAAACAGCGCTGCCAATTTCTACTAAATATCAATAAGCAAGATTTTTTCTTATTTGTTATTGTATCGAAAACTTTCTAAGCTAGAGTATTGTTATCCATTCAAATCAAAAGACTTAGACAGCTTAAGCGCTTTTTTTGATTAGCTCAACTACGTCAATGTCGACGTATTTCGTACAGCTCACCGTTCCATTGGCTGCGGTACTCCCCGTTCCTAACCAGTAGAGGCCCATAAATTTTGCAAAACCTTTCTCTCGAAAACTCCTAACGCCGACTCATCAGATATTATCATCGTCCATGTCTCCGCCCCATATAGCAAATCGGGAAGGATGATCGACATGTAGAGAGCATATCATGTCATAAATATTTTAGGAGAGGTTGAAAATTTCTGCCGAGAGAGCCGTAATTTGAAATGCTGAAAAAAGGCCTTCACATTTTTTGATAACTTCGCTATTTCAAAAGCCCTAAGCAACAGCAATAATTGGCACTACCACGTCAAGCTATGATAAACTGGATGCAGAAAATACAGATCGCAATTTTGTTTTTGCGCCAGATCTTTTAGCTTTGATCTTGGTGAGACTTTTAATGTGCCATGAAGAGTCACAATTTTAAAGGCAGTGGGTTCCAAACAAAACTCACTCGTCCTGCCACACTAGGTGACCATCCCCATTGTTTGGCTTGCAATCCGGCGAGGCAAAAGTGAAGCTACCAGTCGGCTGACGGGTGTAAAATTTCTCATCAACGATTCTCCCTCGTAGATTGTGGTGGAGCAACCAGATACGGCTTCTCCTCCATTACAAAGAAGGTCCTTAAGAATGAGTGAGCCTATAAACAAACAATCAGAGGATGTCGTGAGTAAATCTGCAACCGGGAGAGTTACTGATGCAATGGTGCTATCAATGCCGTCTGATTGTGCTGGAACTACAAATTAGCCTGAATTATTTCAATGAAATAGCGAAATAGCGCGATACATTGCTCTTATCCAAGAACCATGAACTAAGGGAAAGAAAGTTTGTGTATTGAACCATGCTATCTATCAATTGGTATTCTTATAAAAAGAGAACATTGCCTATTTTCTTCTTACTAAATACAACGATATCGAACTGCCTACACAGGGTACAGCACGCCTATTCTAAATTCAAATATGTCAACACCGCTCTTCCCGAAACCGTAACGGGGATTACGAAGGATTTCGTCTTAAAAAAGTAAACATTCTCATTATCGAGAAAGCTTTGAATAATGACTTACTAAAGACAATCATGGACACATTCCGAGAAATGGGTCTTGTAACCAACTGAAACTAGTGAAGTCTATCTCAGCAAACAAGGTAATAAGCCCCTTATGTAGTAACCAATTTGTTGAGAAATGTAATCTGGATGTAAATCCCTCAAAGACCGGTTTGCTACTCTTAAAATAAAGTATAATCCCACTGCGTTAAACTATCTTTACTAAAAGGAAACGAGATTCCTCTTTATACTTGAGTATTTATATTAGAAAGAAAACTCACATGGAACCGAAATATAGCTCAACGGAAAGGCCCTTGAAAACTTTTTAAATTCATACCATGGAGAAACCGCATAGGGCATGCCCAAGTTTTGAATTCTTCACCATCTTTTGCAGAAGTAGACTACACCACTTTTAATTTTGGTTTGACAATACTTTTTCAGCAAAAATCCTGGAGGGGAATGAAAAGCAAAAGATCAAGGATCCTTAAAAGTGGGTTGTGAAGCTTACTCTGAACCTATGGATCAACATGAGCAAGAAACTTTCTGAGGTTACTCAACTAATCATAATTGGGTATCTCAACCTATTAAAATGCATTTTGAAAGACCGGCTGCTATTAAGTCTTTCCAATAGATAAAATATATACTGTGAAAAGTCTGAATTATTTATACGAAAGTTGTATAGTTTTAAAACCGAGGCCTAAAATTATTATAAAAAGCTGCTTTTGTCTTCTAGGCTCTAACATAAAAAATAGTCGATATTAAGTAAACAAAAAAAGTTTTTATATAACGGACATCCTAACGTGTCCAATATAATATAGAAAAACATACTCGCATATAGGTCCACATGACTAAGCAAATTTAGCAAAAAAATTATATATGATATTTCTGCTTTATGAACCTTTACAAAAGAACATAGATCTTTATGAAAGCAGCTATGCAAATCATCACAGGAGTATTTCGTTCAGGAAGGAGCATCCTGCATTGTTAAGAAGAAAAGTTGAGTTGCAAATGCTTTGCAATATGCATTACGACGATAATTGAAACTTTTTCATTGATTTTTCTTGTATTTTATGACCATGAGAAATATATAGAAATATTTTTTAAACACTAATGAAGTTGTTAACTTATTCCACAAAATTATTTTTTCAAAGTCAGAGAAAGCTCCAACCAGAGATCTGCAATGAGTACTGGCGGACTAGATACCTTAAATATTTATATTATACTAATATACTAATTTCTATCCATATTTATTTCAGTGAATACAAACCCCATATCGCGCTTATACTGAAGATATTACGAAAATCTACCCGTTGCGCAATGCGGACTGTACTTGGGATAACTTGAAGATTCTGTTGGTATGAATGGCAGGGCTGATGATGAATGGTGAATAGCTTTACCCTTGAACCATAGCTTCAATCCATCCTACGTCGAGACCGATTCTACCTGATATTTATCGAATTAATTGTTATTAAAATAAACATAGCATTCTGAGCGAAGTATCGTTTTATACAATGGGAATATTTACAGAATTTTCTTTCCTTCTTTTGAAGGGCATTATTTTGTAAATTACAGAAGAGTTGTCCTAAATACAATGAGATATACAATTATGTTAATTTTACGAAATATAGTTTTTCGATGAAACCGAAATTTATGCTGTGCTCTCATATCATATCTTTCACATATTCATTGCTATTGTGCGTTTGCGTAGATCACACGACGAATCCATATTCATATATACGAATATTAGTACATATTAGGCAATTTCTTGCAATGCTATAAATTAATCAAAACACACACATTTGTATATGAGCGGTGCAAATATGTATGAAAGCATGTGGGTGTAATGATATTCAAGTAATTAAAAAACGGGTTTTACATTCGTAGATGGATACATATACATATATATATATATATGTAGTAGCTTATAACTCAGCATAAAAATTCCATGGCTTTATACAAGTATATGATTAATAGGTTTTTATATTTTAATATTTTTAGTAATAAGTTAAGTTATGATAAAATTAAAATAATACTCATATTACGAAGCTATGAAATCGAACACTGATCTTTCGATATATAGTTTTAAAAAAGGCATACAAAGCTAATATTGCCAAAACAAGGTTTGTATGCACTAAGTTTTCTTGGATATATAATTTTATGTAATTTATAAATTATATATGTACGTATAAGTTTTTTATATTAACATAAACTATAAGTTTATGCGAAAAAAAAGAATAATAATACCTTCGACATATCCAGGCAAAAGTATTCATGATACATGCATGTCATCATGGACAACCACATTCATCTACTACCATTTTTGGTAAATCTCTTTTAATTATACCATCGTCTCCATAATATATCAAAGACATGCTGGAAAATTTAACTGGTGCACAACATGGTTGCATGCCATTCAAGAGACCCATCTTACGGTATTCTTCTATAAAATGAGCGTGAAATGTTTGAAATGCAAAGAAGGTTCTTAAGAATGAGTGAGCCTATAAACAAACAATCAGAGGATGTCGTGAGTAAATCTGCAACCGGGAGAGTTACTGATGCAATGGTGCTATCAATGCCGTCTGATTGTGCTGGAACTACAAATTAGCCTGAATTATTTCAATGAAATAGCGAAATAGCGCGATACATTGCTCTTATAAATGTATCAGGTGTTCGATAAGGGCCGGCGCAGTCCCCGCGACAATAATTAGCGAAATAGCCACGCGGTGCAATGATCCAATCATCCCAGCCTAAGGCTTTGAAGGACACGTAAAATGATTCCTTGCAACATTGACCATGCAATGCCCCAACGCAGTCAATAGAATGCCGTCGCACACGCCTCAGACGCTTTGTTTCTGTGTACAAAACCAAGAAAGGTCGATTCAAGCTTGGCTGTGATGAGTTTTCCCTTTTTAATGTCACATTGTCTTGTCGTTGCAAATATGGCATATTATGGCTTTTTGTGGTCAAATCCGGTTTTGAATTTTGTACTAAAGGATGATGCTGAAATGAATTAGTCTTTAGTTTATAGATTTCCGCAATATATGTTCAATTCTTCCGAATATTACATTCAGGTATAATTATAGGTCGCTTTACTCCACTTACATCATGTGCTTTTTGTAGCACCACATTATTAAGGTCACTACGTTGCTGTGTCCATTGAAATATGAGATCATTGCCATTCACTGAAAGATATCGTTCAGCATATATTTGTCGTTTAACCTTTGTATGTAACGGCTTATTAAATAAATGTAAAACATAATGACGACCACAACCAGTACAATCAATAAGAAGGCGTAATTTTCCTATTGGCACTCGGCTATACCAGTCATGTACGGTGGGTGTTATGTCAAACTTTTTCCAGCCTAAATTAATTATGTCCACGTTGAATGTAGCGCAAAGTTGAAGCGGTTCATCACATACCTTTGTATGAAGTAATCGTAATAATATTGTTTAGGAAAGTATATATATTATGTAAATAATGCATTAAATTATTACATATTCCATATTACATAATATGTACATTATACAATAGATTTGAATTTAACTGCAAATTAGTGCTAACTTTCGCGTCCCAAACTCCGATATTGACTTCATTATCAAGTGGTGATTCCAAGCAGACGTTATGTATTGTGGAGCTATCATTAAGTATCACTCTCAAACTAAAAGACTACCATGTAAAACGTTTTCTTTTACAATTTTTAAGGAGACAACTCGGTTTCCAAAATGAAATTAACACCCATATTTATATTTTAATATTTTAAATATTTTACGGTCGTGGTGAGTCCCTCAATCAATACATACTAGCGTTCGGCCAGCTGAGCGAAGATGGCGTGGGTCGCTAGCTTCGTACAAAAACAGAACTACTTGTAAAGAAAAACAAAACCAAATCAAACTATTAGCGCGATAAAAAAAATCGGCAACAGAGCAAAACTAGTTGCATATCTTAGCGTATACCAAATTATGTGTGTGGTGCACCTGAGGTGCGGTCCAACCAAACTGGCTACGAACCCACTCGCACTATTCCAGCCGCTGGTTCTTGATTCGCTAAACTATGTCAGTGTTGACGTACGTCGTACAGCTCACCGTTCCATTCGCGATACTCGCCGTAGAGGGATATAAATCTTACTCAAAACTTTTCTTTCGAAAACTCCTAACGCCGGCTTTATTTTTTAATTGCGCACTCAGCAGCTTTTTCAATTTAAGTAAAGCATTGCGTTTGATTTTTGCTATAACCAACAAGGTTTTTTTTCTCTTTAAACAATAATAATTCACAGGTATATACATATATTAATTCGCTTTGTGTAACCGCTGTTGCGGCGGAAAATCGCTTCAGCGGTTACAAAGGGCCAATTATTAATATTATATATAACCGCTGCCAAGCTTCAGCTTCAATTTTTGGTTTCGCATCTTGTTTTTCCAGCAAATAGAAAGGGTTCTCCGAAAGGCTGATACATTTTTATGAATAACATGTCATAAATACTTTTGGAGAGGTCGAAATTTTCTACTGAGGGAGCCGTATTTTGAAATGTTGTAAAAAAGACCTAAAAATATTTTTTAAAAAATGCGCTCTTTCAAAAGCCCTAAGCATCAGCAACTTTTAGCACTCCCACGTCAAGCTATGATAAGGTGGATAAAGCAAAACACAGCTCGCAATGGTCTTTTTGCGCCAGATACTTGCATGATGGACGTTTCCACCCCTGTAAATATTAGGTGTAGTAAAAAGTTTGTCTTTGACAGTACGTTGAGAGCGCTCATCAAAGATGGGCACCAGTAAAGAGAAAATTCGCTGTATTTTAAGGTTTTTCTTCGATCAAGGCGAAAAAGCAACTAAAGCGGCTGAAATAATTAATTTAGTTTATAGGCTCGATACTGTAAAGGAACGTGTAGCACAAAAGTGGCTTGCTAAGTTCCGTTCTAATAATTTGGATGTCAAAGATGCACCATTCTTCGGTAGTCCTGTCGTCGAAAATTGCGATAAAATCATGGAAAAAGTGGAAACAGACCGAAACGTGAACACTTATTTAATTTCTGAGGAACTAAATATAAGGCAGACAACCGTTTCGAACCATTTGCTTAACTTTGGATTCAAAAATAAACTCGATATTTGGTTGCCACACGAACTAACGCAAAAAACATGATGAACCGAATTCGCATCTGCAAATCGCTGCCAAAACGCAACAAAATCGACCCGTTTCGGATTTAGACTGTTAAAAATGGTTCACTTACGACAACATCGGGTGCAAACGGTAGTGGTCAATGCTCGCGGAAGCGGGCCAGACGGTGGCCAAAACCGGATAAACTGCCATGAAGGTTTTGCTGTGTGTTTGGTAGGATTGGCCAGGAATCATCTGCTACGAACTGCTCCTTTTTGGTCAAACGTTCAATTCGGCCCTCTTCTGTCTACAAATGGACCGCTTGAAGGCAGCACTCATCCATCTTTGATCAACAGAGGCCGAATTGTGTTCCATCAGGGCAACGCCAGGTAACACACGGTTTTCGTGACGCGCCAGAAACTCCAGGAGCTCGGATGGGAGGTCCTAATGCACAAACCTTATAGTCCGGACCTGGCACCAAGTGATTACCATCTTTTCCTGTTCATGGCGAACGCGGTTAATGTTGAGAGATTGGCCTCAAGAGAGACCTGTGAAAATTGGTTCTTTTTTGCCGATAGGGACGCAGCCTTCTTCGAGAGGGGTACATTGAAGTTGGCATCTCGTTGGCAACAACTTAACAAACAAAACGGACAAATGTACTCAAAGTCATTATATTTTGAAAATTCAATAAAAACCGACCGATACTTTTGCTTTACTAATATATTGGGTCCATTATTTTGGCAATAAGTTGATGTTTACAAGATTATATTATATTTGTTTTTAATATAGCTAGATTTTTTCGATTTATGGCAGATATGTATCGTTGTCCCCATTTACAAAAAAAAAAAAAATAATCGAGTTTCTCAAAATTATCGTTAAATCTTCAACAACCAAATTATAGACAGGAGCATATGGTAATCACCTGTTGCGAGATCCAGACTATAAAGTGGCAGCATATGACTCTACCAATCAAATTCTTGGAGCTTCGGGAAATTTAAAACTTTTATAAAAATCCATCGCCAATTCGGAAGAGGCTTAGAATAAACAGTAGGTCACTTCATTTGCTGGGAAAACATCAAAAAGTAAAACACAAAATGGATAATGGACATACAGATCAGTAAAGCCTTCTATAAAAAGATAGTGGATGACCTTTTACTCACTTACTTTACTGGCGTAGACAATGCTTACGCGATTATAGCCGACTTACAACAGTGCTGTTTAGCGCCAATTGGAAATACCATGTACAGCTAGGTCTTTCTCTACCTGGTATTTCCGCTTCCTCTGCTTCCAGTGGCGGGTATTGCATCGAAAACTTTCATGGCTGGAGTATTCGCGTCCACACGGATCACATGACCTAGCCAGCGTAGCCACTGTTTCTTGATTCGCTGAACTATATCAATGTCGCCGTATAATTCGTACAGTTCATCGATCCATAGTCTGCGGTATTCACCGTTGCCAGCGCGCAAAGGACCATAAATCATACGCAAAACCTTTCTTTCGAAAATTCCCAACTCCATCTCATTAGATGCTGTCATCGTCAATGATTTCGCATCATGTAGCTGGACGGGAACGATGAGGGACTTATGGAGTTTGGTTTTCGTTCGTCGGGAGAGGACTTTCTTTTTCAAGTGCCTACTCAGTCCACAGTAGCACCTGCGTGCAAGAGTGATTCTGCGCTGGAGTTCAAGGCTGATGTTGTTATTGATGTTTATGCTGGTTCCTAGATATACGAAGTTTTCTGAGGTTGATAATGATGACCTTTTACTTGACTAAAATATGCAAAGTAAATTTCTCCCTGGGGAAACGATGAAACAAAAAATCTACCGCAGGCAGTTAAATAATGATGCTTTTATGATTATTCATCGAATTTGATATTCTGTGTTTCCATTTACTGCGATTTTCCTATCGGAAACATCTGAAGTAATTTTTGAGAATGGATTTAATTCTTAGTTTAATTGATTTATTTATTTATTCTGACTAATATATACATACAACCATAAGTTATTCAATAGCGATTTAACTTAGTTCTAATAGCTGGAAATAAAATGGAGGATCATAATAATATATAAATTATTTTAAAACTAAAGATTTGAAATAGAATCTGTAGTATTTACAAGATTTGAAATATATAAATGAGAGTTCAGATTAGCAATTATTAAGTTAGGCAAAATAATGTAGGGGCTCCATTTTAAAGAGAGGGGCTCCTAAAATGGCTTTGGTTTTTTTTGGCAGATCATTCAAAAGACGAACAGCACAAACAAAACCATGGAGCTCAGATCCCAGGCAATTGTACTTAGTATTAAGCAAAAAATAGATCTAATAGATCTAGTAAGTTGAATTCGTCTTGCAAGAAAAACCTACAGTTAAAACTGCTTTTGTGTTAAAATTTATTTTCCATAATTTTCTATCATTTACTAAAGTTAATGTGCCTAATGCTACTTCACAAAGTAATTAGAACAAATTCAATGCACAAAATCTATCCGACCCCTATGCAAAAACTCTAGTTAAATTCTAGTATTTTGAAGATGAAATCAATCCACCAATAATGGAAGTAATAATCACTTCGACCACCGTTTGTTGTTGTTATATCGAACACGTCATAATCACTATAGCCGAGTGGTTAGAGGTTACCGCTGTAGCACGTGAGGCTCCGGTTCAAGTCTTACTAGAAGCGAATAAAATTTTATTTTTATATTTTTGGTGAAGAAGATATTTGTTCTTGTTTTTGGCTTCTGCAATTGACATACCTGGTGACTTGTCGAAAACGATCATGGTCCAAGCATGGTGAACCAGCTCAAACCACTTCAAAGGCTGATATCCACCAAAAGAAGGTTATGCTGTCTGTTTGGTGGATTGGAAGGGTGTCGTATATTTTGAGCTGCTTCCAAGGAACCAAACGATTAATTCGGATGTTTACTGTCAACAATTGGACAAGGAGAAGCGACCAGAATTGGTCAATCGTAAAGGTGTCATATTCCACCAGGACAACGCTAGACCGCACACATCTTTGGTCACTCGCCAAAAACTGAGTGAGCTTGGCTGGGAACTTTTGATGCATCCACCATATAGCCCTGACCTTGCACCATCAGACTACCATTTATTTCGATCTTTGCAGATCTCCTTAAATGGTAAAACTTTCGGCAATGATGAGGCTATAAAATCGCACTTGGTTCAGTTTTTTACAGATAAATGCCAGAAGCTCTATGAGCGTGGAATACTAAATTTGCCAGGAAGATGGCAAAAGGTTATCGAACAAAATAGCAATTATATATTTGATTAAAGTTCATTCTAAGTTTTATTAAAAATGCATTTACTTTCATTTAAAAA